CACTCTTAATTCTGTCTGCCTGGTGGTTCTATTTGTTACCTATCACATTTTAAGCGTAAAAATACGCTTTTGGTGTTCTAAGGCAGAAAGGGGGAAAAAAGGTCCAAGGTCACAGCTGGAGGTGCTGTGTTGCATGCAAGTAAGTGTATTTGAAAATCTGTGCAGGGTCCAAACACTCTGAGTCAACTACAGCCTCATCATGGGGCTAAAACCACTAAAGCAGCTGCTGAGTTTCCTGAGGTATCTCCAGTGGTGTAATGAGAAGCCACTAGGAGAACGTATAAAGAATATCTATACTGTGAATTATAAAGAGTAAATGCCATGGGAACTCCTGCTTCCGATATCTCCAAATAAATGAGGAGACACACGTTTAAGATGAAGAGGCCACAACGGCTTATGAGGGATAAAATGGGGGTTGTTATTTTTAATAGACTATAGGTACTGAACTGTGGAACTTGCTGCCTTATGACATTACTAAAGGAAATACAGCTGCCAGAAGTTCATACATTTTTGAACAACTCTATTACAGGAACTATGATAGTATCTATGACATTATGGTACCAAGAATAAACGCGTCTTGTTCTACAAGCTGTCAATTTTCAGAGTGCTGTAAAACATGGCATTGAAAAACACCAGGACTCTACTGGAAATAGGGTTTCACATGAAAATAGAAATACATTTGCTACTTTTTGGTCAGTTTCTGACTCTTCTGATATGTCACTCAAGAAACAAAGGACTTGGTCATAATGACCCCAACCTACTCCTCTTTCCTAGGCAGAAATAACTGTGCAGTTTTGAGGGAATTACTATCTTCTCCTAATTCATAATTTCTTGTGCTTAACTTTCTCAAGGCACAGTTGAAAACGTGGCAAAAGAAGGAAACTGTAATAGCTGCCTGTGGGCTCTGCAGTACCCTTCCGGTCACAGTATGATGATGTTAATGTCTCACAGCTATCACAAATATTGTTACGGGACATGCCCATACATTTATAGATGGTTTCTGCATGAGATACAGTGTCTTCTCTGCATCTTTTCACTTATGTCAGTGCAAGTCTTTCAAAATGAGAACATTCCCATCCAAGGAGCCTCCTGGTGCAAAGGAAGTTAAGCACACATCTTGCTAGGACCCTTCTGCAGCAGTTTGCTGACCAGAGATGAACAAAGAGTGTCTCAGGTACCAGCACAGGATTGGAAGGTCGTGTGTTTGCTATAGTTTCTTGCAGACACATTTGTCCCTCTTCCTCTCCTTCCCTGCACTAGGCCCTTTATGTTCACCATGTCTCCATCCTGTCTTCTCAGCACCTCATTTTGGTCCTAATCTCCATCCTCATCACCCACTTGTTATCCCTGTTGTGCTTGTCAGAGTGTCTTCTCTCTTTACACACCCTAATTCACCTCCCTAAGTGCCTGGCAGCGCAGGATGGATGCAGGTGCTCAGGGCTCCACTCCTCTGCCCAGGCTCCATATGGGGGATGCTCTACTCATGCCCCTCCAAACTGAGCTGGAAGATGCTTCTTCACTCAGTGCACCTTGAGATTTGTCAATATTTATTTCAAATAGAGATTTTTCTGAGATTTGTAACATCACAGGACTCAGATGGTATTTCACAGATGTGACAAGAATTACACACTTGGCTACTACAGCCAAAATCTTCCACCCAAAGCCTGGAGAAACTGAAGATCTTCAGGAAAAAAGGATTTTGTCAAAAATTGTTTCTTCCTCCCCCCCTTTTTTTCCCTAGATTGTCAAACCCCCACATGTATACCCAGCCGCCTTCTATGGAAAGATTGAATCTTCTTTGTTGATATGAGAAAATTGCAGCCTGAAACAAACACCTGCTCTGGATAATTTCCAGCTAGACAGTTTAGGTTTCATAGAATTATTTTTAAGCTGATAACCTGTTCCTTCCTTGTAATGAAGCTGTAGCCCCTGTGTCCATAAACATCTATTCATACCCTGCAGTCATGCTTCCAGTATACTGATCCTGTCCTGGAAACACACACCCTGATTCATTTTCCAAACAACCATATTCTTACTAACTGAAAATAAAGGAAGAAAACATGGGAGATCGATCAATTGCATACACACCAGGATAAACACAAGCACTGTTGCTGCATTTCTGGCTTCTGGCATTACCCACTATATAACTCCACCTATGCTACTCTTTTCTAGATCGCTGCTTAACAAATTACTGGAGAATAACTAGTAAGAAACTGAAGGGAATTTAAAAGCATGATATTTGGGGAAATATAGAAGAAGACTGTATGAAGCGCTAAAAAATATAGAATAAATAGTTTTTAGAGCAGCAGTTTAAATGACCAAATCCATTTTCCTTCTTGTAGTTTTCTATTAATCTACTGAGGACTCAGTCATGAAATTCAGATGTAAGAACGTGCTGGGTTAACAGACTTGTCATCCCATTATTTCACACTCTTTTCAAGAAGCACCCTCCAGTTAACATGGAACTTTAGCAAACTAATTCCATTCTTTTCCAAAACATTCCTAGTATTTTTTTTGCAAGATGAATACCCTTTGGAAATGCTCTCCAGAGGACAGGCCATCAGCAGACATCTCCTTATAAAGGATTCCCAAAATCATCCTTCAAGAAGAAGATGTCATTTGAACTAAACTGTAAAATGAACACCTTTTATCAATTGAACAAGCTTCCAGAGGACAAAAGGTGCAATACCACCTCCAGTACCACCCCGTGGCAACCCTGGTTCACTTGCAACTTCTCTGCCAGGTGTCTCTGCTACATAGCTCATGCTCTCACAAGGACAGCTCACATGCAGGATTCATCATTTTTTATGAGTGGACCAAAAGAACTCAGCCAAGGCTGCTGTTGTCCTTGGAAACAAAAATATCTAAGAAGAGACAGTGCTTTCTCCCTTCTGTTTCCCCCCTCATTTCTAAGCCACCACCTTCCTCTCTCTAATGCCAAAGCAGCGCTGTAGTGTGGTCCAGCACAACATTTTTTCCTGTGTTTTGGGTTGTGGGTTTTTTTTGTAGTCCACAAGAGAGCCTAATGAAGGGGGACCCACATGAAAGAAAAAACAATAGACTAAAATAATGAGTCTGGCTCAGAAGGACAAGAAACATTTTTACACATCATAGCCAGTTTGCTAGCCTTTGTGCAATACTCTAAGTTGTGATATATGATTTATTCATTTGTTTTTCTATTCATTTGCATTTTGTATTACAAGGCAAATCTTTAGAAAAACAGAACACTAATTTATTTCATAAAGGATTTGCAGAAGACTTAATAAGCACTTATTTTGTGCAGAAATACAAACATTGTGTCATTAAACAATGCTTCTGGAAGAGAAAATGCTGCAAACTCTTAGCCCTAAGACAGTCAGACACGCACATCTTAAAAGACTCTGTCTTGAACCAAGTTCTCCTATTAGCCTGCACTGAACTGCATGCAGAATCACGCTAGCTGAAGATCATTTTTAAGAGTCTCTGAAAGTTTGGAAACGCTTTGCATGTTTAATACTTTACACGCGGCATCTCTGAGAGCCTCAAGTGTGTGACTCATGGGGAGGCTCAGTGTAAAAGCGAGATCGCCCTCTGACGGCAAGCATCTCCTATAGCTGGCGCAGCGAGCAGCACAGCAGGACAGGCTGCAGGCTTAGGTAGTCCCCAAGGTAGAAGAAACATGTCAGAGATGCTCTCTTAAATTGAATAGGATGTAGACATCAGCATACGCAACCCTGACCTTTCAAATTTCGAGTTGGAAACAGTTGTTACACTGACTTCTCTGCCAAAAAGACAAAAGCATCATTTTTTATGATCATGACCTCGTTGCTTACACATTGCACTGGGGTTTTGCTGCACTTTGTTATTGCACTCGGCAGAATTTGGCACTGGGACTGGGTTCTCTATGCCTCCTTTTGTACACCGGGGTCTTGTAAATTCTGGCCTCACTGAAGGGCTGTGATAAACGTCTTTATAGCCTCGTGTCTATCACGGTTTGAAACTGCCCTCTAGGGCACTGCAACAGAATAATGCAGAGCAGCATTGTACCTGCTCTCATACACCCTTTCTCCTTTCCATTCCCACCTTACCCTGGCCACATCTATCATGGAGGACTAATACAGATTTACTCTGTTACTCCTACATGAGGCAAGATAAAACAGCACAGCACAGTGCTGCTGGACCAGTATGAAAGAGACTGCAATTCAGAGCAGAATCTCTATCTCCCACTGCATGCTACACAACCACACGATTCTCAGGCTTTCCTAATACAAATTATACAAATTTAAAACCCACCAGCTTTTCTCTGAGTTGGGATCTAAGTCCTAGAACACTGAGTACGCAGCAGTATCACTCTGAAACAGTAGCAGATAGATCTGTCACATAGTTGTTTAGGTGCTTGCTGCATAGAAAGCGTGTTACGCAGCCGACTGGATGGTGGCTGCATCTGCAGCATCGGCAGAGGAATATAAATAAACCTAATACACCAAGTAGTCAATTCTGCTGGGACAAAATGTACTTCAAAACTAGCTTCAGGATACCATAATTAATGCCTGAGTGAGGTAGGAATTATTTCAATCATCTTCTCATACTATTATTTTAACCTACAATACCTGTTTTGAAATTCTGCCCCATGCTTGAGTTGCTTGCCATTTTGAAGGTTCACACTTACAAAGAAGCTAAGCTGATGGCATCTAGCCCCTAAATGAAGGCACGTTCTTATGAATCCCTCATACAAAGGCAGGCAATCTACTCCAAGGGCAATTTGTGTACTTCTATTTGTTGGTGCAGATTGGACTGGCAACTATGGAGCCAGAATTCCGGAATATTTCCATTCCGCACAGAAAAAGAGAGCTGATAGTGCTGAGAAATAAGATGATTTGGATATTAATCTTACAGTAAGAATTATTTCCTTTGCATTGTATTACCACACTGTGCTGCTGGATGACATTTTGTGTGCACCTCTACACAGGAGATGCTCTGGTAGTAATTTAAATTAAGTGAAGTTAAAGAATGTGGCTTACCTTGTGTTGTCCCATCTTGTCCCATGAGACATTTCATTGCCCTGATGATTTGCTCTGCTACGGGTGGACACATAGATGTGGCGTACACAGCACTGTGAGAATGAGTTCGTAAAAAGTCCACAAGGTCCTTACACAAGCAAAACAAAGCATGAATGAGCTTTGAGCTGGTCAAACAGCAGATCTCCCTCTTACCTACTGCAAGAGTGAAAACATATGAAAGGAAGAGGATGTTTCACCAGTTATTGGTTTGCTTTCTTGGCTGCTACTGTTACTACATGGCCTGAAGAAACATCAGGCAGGTGCAAATACTTCACGATGTAAGTGGGGCAATTACAGCTGAAACAAAAGTCTGAAGTAGAATAATGTTTACTTCTGTGCTAAGACTTATTATAAAGGAGCCAAAATCATTTAAAGGCCAATGAACAGCTGCAGTTAAAATACTGTTTAGTTTCTCTCTGGGAATGAAGAAAAGCCTGCATGACATCAGTGTAGTTCCTCTGCCACAAGACAGGAAAAGCAACCTTACTGGGATCTAACTCTGGCTATTAGCATATAAATTTCTTGCCATTGAAACTTTCCATCAGTGTGACAGGGACATTCATCTTAGAGTTGGTACAACTGCTTTAGCATTTCCTTGTATAACTAAAAGCACAATCTGTGCTCCAAGAAAAAGCATTAATATACTGTAGGCATGTCTACAGCATTGTCCTGAATCAAGGGACACTGGAGGAATCGAGCCCTTGATTAAGACGATCATTGTTATGATAGCTTGTACTTATACCAGAGTTACAACACTAAAAGCTGAATGCATATTAGTGAGAAAGGAATGAGGCCTGAATGAAAACTGCCTTTGACAAAAAACATCACCAGAAAAAAACCCCAAATACTAACATAAATTTTTGCCAAAAAAGCTGTGTTGAGTCTATGCAGTAACTCCAATGCTAAGGATAAACATTTACCTAACGTTACACAGGTTATGCATTGCTATATTGCAATTGTAATCCTAAGGGCTTGATCAAATAGCTGACAAGGCTTCTGTTCTCTAGCTGATGCAGAATAAGCACTGTCACAGTGAGTTTTTGGCTGCAGAAATGAATGTAGGAGTGCTAAGTGTGTTGGGTGAGTAGCTGCCACTAAGGCTCGGAAGCCTGGGGCAAAGCTTAGTGACACACACAGGCGTGAAAAGAATGACCCACTTTCATTTGAGAAAACTGCCAAGGATTAGATGATTAATTACTTTAGGCTGCTTTTCACTGGTCTGTGCTTTCTGTAATTTCTAGCTACATTAGTCACATAGTCTTTGGTGAGAGTAAAACTCTCAGATACAGATTGAAGAAGCAAAGGAAACAAAGAAAATTGATTCTTGATATATTATGGTAGTCTGTTTTAAGTTCTCTGGGGGCAAACCAAAAAAAGACAGTAAGAAATATACACTTTATACTTTCTTACAAGCCTTTTATGCTACTCAAGTGCTACACTTACTAATGTTATCCTGACAACAACCATATGGGCTGTCTAAACAGGCTTCCTACTCATTCAGCAAACTACTTAAGAAATACATTCAGCAGGGTATGAAAAGGGTAAATAATCAGCAACTACTTGATATCTCTGTCAAGCAACAAAGCTGATGACATTTCACAATGGTGCTGATTATGCTTTCTCTTCTTGTACACCCCCAGTGCTCTACTTTTTGTTGACATCTGTTGTTGGCAAAAGGTTGTTTTGTTAATGTATGCAGAGCAACTGAGGACATGGATTTTACTATTGCAAAAGGCCGTCAGTAACCCTCCTTCTCCATCCTCCTAAAAAATGCAACTATGACAATCCACAACTGTTTAGGAATTTTATTATCAGTGGATGAAGCTGTGGCTTTAATCTCTCAGTGTTGCTCCACACACTGTTTACAAATGTGAAACAAAGTAATGAGCAATCTGCATGCAAATTAATGTAGTGAAGTATATTTAGCCAACCACAACGTGTCTAAACATTTCCAAGCCAAACAACAATCATCAGAGTGGCACAGAAATACCCAACCCCAGCAAATTACATAATGTGAACATGAGACAAAAATAAGAAAGTCTGTTTGATGTGTATTTGGGATCCAGACAAAAATGGTACTAACTTTAGAATAGTGCTCCTGTAAAGCAGTCTATGCAAAAAGATAATGAAATATATCATACATAATAAGAAGATACTTCCCCTCTCCCTTCCCTGGTATTAAAATGTGTTTTCCTTTTACCTTTTTGCCAGCAATGTATCCTCCAGCTGCTCCAAAGCTCTTTGTGAACGTTCCCATTAATACATCAACATCATCAGGATTCATACCGAAGTACTCCACAACTCCTCGGCCCGTTGCTCCCACTGCACCGATGCTGTGAGCTTCGTCCAAGTAGAGGTAGGCTTTGTATTTCCTCTTCAAGGAGACTATCTCTGGCAGGCGCACGATGGACCCTTCCATGCTGTGGATGGACAGAATCATGGATGAACAATTTCAAACTCCAGAAAAGAGATGGAAAGGTATAAAGCAAGGGGGAAACACTCACCCAAAGCAGCAAACTGCAATTCGTTACCTAACAAATACTGTAATGAGTTATAGGGAACCCCTATAATTTGGTCTAGTCCTTGTTTACTTCATCGTCAGCTACTGTGGCAATATTTGGGGGTAATAGCTCTAGAGTAAATTACTCTGGTGCAGAGGAGTTGGGTCTAACATACAGAAGAGATGGGCCACATGAAACGCAGGGAATGTGCTAGAACCCTAAGCAGGCCCAGTCTTCGGAGTAGAGAGAATCAGGGACTAGAAAAAAGAGCTCAGATCCACTCTTGCCAATTGTTCCTCCCAATATGTACTTCTTAGGAGATGTAGCCTGCTACTAATCCATGAAAAGAAAAATGTTTCCATTCTTTTTCTTTTTCCTTTTTTACAGCCATGCAAGGAAATATTCTGAACTTGCACTTATGGTGTATTGAGATTTGTAGAAATAAGCAAAGGTGATAAATCTTTTGTATTGTTGGCAATCACATGAGTAAGTCAGAAAGCACAGAAGAGGTGTACAGCAAAATGAAAGCCCAGGGAGGTAAATAAGAAATACACTCTAATCCCATAAAATTGAAGTATCAATAGTGTTGCTGTGAAGACTATTATGTCTTGAAAGCCTTTTTGAGATGATTATAGCTATGCTTGGATATGCTCTGATGCACTCAGTATTCATTTCATAATGAGTTAAACATGTTCTCTTCCACTAGCTCTAGTGAGCAGGTCTTTAAATGCTAAATACTTCCTATCTAACAGAAAATGAGTGCACTAGATGCCAGGAAAACCAGTGCTCCATGGCTAAGGCCTGCGGCTAAGGTCTATCTGACTGCAAATGCTACAAGAGAAAGCAGAAACATTGAGTTTGTTCCCAAATCGTGCAAAAAAGCAGTGCAACCAACAGAACTTTATGGCAATTTTTAGATCGCAGACCAATGTCTTTCACAGATTGTTTTATTGCCACTCTAAGCTACACTGTGCAGCTGGAAGTTTGGTACTACAAAAGGAGCAGGGTGTTCTTTTAGCACTTAGGAGATCTCTGCCGATTTCAGTCCTTCTTCATCCTTTGGTCTTCTGAGTGTGCTTGGGAACAGCTTGGTCTCCAGTTCTGAAGGAGACCTGCCCTTAGGCAAGTCTCCACTCGTTTGAAAGAACAGCACGGGAGAGCAGCCACGGACAAGGGTTGCCTGTGCTGTTCATACTGGGAGGTTCAGAGAGCCCCAATGCATGTGCATGGAGGCATGTTTTTGGCTGTCAGGTGACTGCTGGTAACCTGGTCCTTTCGTCTTGCCCAGCCATACACAGAGGCAGCTCTGGGGCTGTACATTGGCACCATGGCATCTTGCAGCAAAGGAGGGTGGGCTTGTGCTGCAAGCTCCTGAAGACTGGTCTTCCTTACTTTTCCCAGATGGCACTTGGCAGCTGGGGGAGAAGCAACTTGAACCACCTCATCTGTTTTCCTAATGAATACAAGTGCAGAGGCCACAGTCCTCACATAGCCCAGACTCAAAGCATTAGTCAGTATCCTGAGCCAGTGGTATGCTTGGTCATGCAGCATCATGCGTGCTGGGGATGGCAGCTTTCAGCTGTGTCTGGTTGACCTGTAGTTTGGCTGTGTGGTCAGGGTGAGAGTGGTGCCATAGAGCATCCCTGCACAGGGAGAAGAATAGACATCCCACCTTCCACCTTGCAGCAGTACTTGGGCAGACCAGCTAGGCTGAGAAGAACAAGTTTTTTCCACATTTACATGGATGTCATTAGGCTTAGTGGCTCATGGTGATTCAGATGGGAAAGACAGCATTTATGTTCAGAAGAAGTGAAAATGGTAAATTAAAAATGCAGAGCTTGATTTGCTGCATATTTGTGTTGTTGCTGAATCCCAGAATACATATTGCTGATACACGGCTGATGCAAGATTTAACCATTAAGAGAATTTAGAGAAACTTTCCTTTCTCATGTGAGTAGATTCCTCTTTGAACTCTAAACTATCTAGCAAAAGGCGGCACTTGTATTCTGCCTCAGTGTTGATTTACCGCTCTTGAAAGATGCCAGCTGACATAAATGTTACAATAGTTGACAGAGATCCTAACACGGCCTTGAAGTGTCCATGGAGTAGATAACGCACTGTTGGTTTTGTATACGTTTTCTGTGCTGCCATTCAAACAGGCCTCAGCCCTCCTGATGGCAAAGATGAGAGCTGTTCTGCTGTCTGCTCTGTTCTTGGTCTCTCTTTTGACCCTGGGAGATGGTTTGTGATATGAATGCTTCTCTGTTTAGAATTGCTCCAAGATAAAGCTCACTTCGCATAACCCCTTGGGTAGCCCAAATGGAAAGTTTACTGGATCCTTCAGTAAATATTGATGTCAACTGAGTTTAAACCAGAGAGCCAGCAGTGAACTGTAATTGTTCTGTCTCAGACTGGTTGTGTCACTTTTACAAAGCTATTGATCTGTTTCCAGATCTGCTAAAGCACACAAGGCACATCAAAAAAGTTGGATGCAGACGAACATAAGGTGGCTCTGCCCAGGCCAGATGTTCTCATTATGTGTTATTCCATCCTGCCTTGTAGCAAAAACTATTAGCTTGGTGGCAGGGATGTAAAGCTAAATTGCAGCTGACCTTCAGCTCCATTGTTTGGTGGGCAGGCACAAAAGCTTGCTTCAAGACACACTTAGTTTGAATCTACTTCCAGACGTGAGGAGATAATCCAAATTCTGATTATCATCAAAATTAGCATCACTGAGTTTCAAAGCTTCAAACCACTGAGATTCTTCCTGATGAATTGTGGAGCCAGGTGCTGTAAGAGACAGGAGGTATGCACTTGTGCTGATCACTTTGCTTGGAACACAGGCTTGCTCTGGACAGGATGTCGATGGGTTTTGTCCAGTTTATTTTGAAACTTCTTGGGAACAGAGTTTTCTACATCCTGCTGTGGCACCACACTTTCATTTTTTTTCTATCAGGAAGACAATTTACTGGTATGCAACCCAGCCTAATTGCATCACTCAATGCCTCTAAACATGTCCTATGGTACCACTATCCTTTCAGCATTTGAAAGCTTTATCTGTTCCCCTTTCAGGCTAATTTGTAATTGGGAAAATCCCTCCTTTCCTGACCTGTTACTCCCATGATATATGCATTCCATATTAATGTTTACTTTAGGTATTGTTTTCTTACATAAACCTTGCACATTCATACAAGAATCTCTGTTTTGTAGTTTAGGGCAATACCTTTAAGGAAACCTTCCAATCCTGTCCTCAAATATAAACCCATACACTGATATGATAGAAATGTTAACCTTTAATGCTGGTTCCTGGCCAAAGACATTAAATGTTACCCCATTCTTTTCTGGAAGTTCAGTCACTTAATCTCAGGAAATAAAAAATAACCCTGATAAATTTCCTATGGTATTGAATCCCAAGGAACTTCTAATGCATGTGGAAAGGCACTGGACAATATCTATCTGATCAGAGAGCTATTTTCTTAGCTAGAAGGGAAAATATCCAAATTAAATTAAAAGCAGGGAAAAAACCAAATGAAAAACAATTGGTTTTGATCAGTTTCTGGTGCCCCATAACTCCTGCCCTGGGCCTTGGCCTATCTGACTCCTAGTTAAATGTGTGTGCAAGAGAGCAGGAGCCTACCACAAACCATGTCAGAACACAGTAACTGATTAATCCTGAACTGGAAATGGTAGAAGCCAAGGAAAACATTAGCTGGAATTTAAATAATAGAAATATGATTTAGCAAGTCATTTTAACTTGTGCCCTGGACACTGCCAAAACTTGTTCATGCTTTTTATGCTGAAGATTGATGGCTAAATGATCTCTCTCAGCTTGGAATGCAAATGGAATATATTTGCTCCTAAGGTAGTCCATGTTAAGAACCAGCTTTTACTAGTAGTTACATTTACTTCTAATGACCTTTTCTTCTTTTAAGATAATAGAAACATTAAAAAGCAAATGAACATATACTTATTACTATTTATTTGATACGTAGCTTGAGTGCTTCCCAAGTCAAGAGGCCAATTCTGCCTTCAGTTGTAACCAAACAAAATCTGCAGCTTTTGGTTTCAAACGCAAATCTGATTTCCAAAAATGCTCATGTTGGCTAACAATGATCCTTTTCAAATTCTGCCAGCTGGTAAGTCCAGGCTTAAGCACAGTGTAAACACTTTCACATACTCCTAATGGAAACAGAAGGCAAATTTTTTTCCATACCATCAACTTCATCATACTAAGACTATGGTGTCTCATATAATAATATCTTTTTAAAGAAGGAAAAAAAGAATAGTTTAGTGTTTCTTCTGCATCTCTGGAAAAAGCATTTCTGACAAAATTTGCCAAGCCAAACTTGCAAGTCCAAGGTATTTTAACTTGGAGAATAGTTCTGACCAACTTATTTCAATTCTGTATTAGCTGTCCCTGAAGCATAACTTAAGCCCTTTAAGGAAAAAAAAAAAAAGCAGGATTAACTATTATAAGAAGCATACATTAACAACACTCTACCTCCTCATAAACCCTCTGGACGAATGTTAATTCGGCATCTGGCAAACCTTCAAGGAAACTAACATTAGCCAATATGGGATTGGAAAATTTTAGTCTCTTTCAAAAATCCTTGGCCAAGAAAAGAAAGAACATACACACAAAAAAGGAGAGAGTACTTCTACTATTTTCTTTTGCATATGAAATGTTATTAGCTACTTGCTGAATTAGACTGTGAGCAAGGCCTGTGAGCCTGTTGCCAGCAGTGCTGTAAGGACAGATCAGCTGCATGCATCTCGGGTTGGCAGTGATGCCAGGACTCAGCACGGTGGGGTGTGGTGGTATTCTCCCTCCAGTCAGAGCAGACTTGCTTTGCAACCAAACCACAATCTTCACTGTCTGATCTGCTTAGACTATGAAAACAACCAACCAACCAACCTAGCTACTGCTAGGGCCAGTTTCCAATGGGAGACTATTAGAGACCTGAGCTTTGTTTTTCTTTTACTTTATGCCTTTCACAAGCATAGACACTCAGGGCATGAGTGGTCTTAGCATTATTTAGCCTTTATGGTGCTGAAGGAGCTTCATTTTTAGTGAAGTTCTCAGAGGCTTTAACATGTTTTTACTTTATGTTCTATCAGAAGGCTCTTTAAACTTTTGAGAACAAAATCTTTGAAAATGAACTGCAAAACTAGAGGAAAAGAAAACTCTATATCAAATATACATCTAGAAATCATAGAATGGTTTGATTGGCAAAGGACATTAATATCACCTAGTTCCAACCCCCTGCCATGGGCAGGGACACCACACACCATGTCACCCAAAACTCTGTCCAACCTGGCCTTGAAATACAGTTATTATAGTTGCAAATATCTGACAGCAGGTTTCCCTCAGTGCTCAGACTGATCTATGCTTCTGTATCAGTCTATGTTCTTGCTCCCTAGTGGTCAATATCGAGGGTAAAGGATTTAAAAGTGAGTGAAGCTCAGCAGCTGGAGCATTTTCTGCAGGCTGTGTGACCGGTGGGAACATTTGTCAGTAAAATGTTGGTGGTCCACTTAATTTCTGCATGATCAAAGTCCTTAAATCTGAGTTTTCTTTTAGTAGTGCCAAGCTATGTTTATTTGCAGTTTTGCTCTGTTTATTCTGGTTGAAAGGAGACGTTCAGCCTGCTTTGGATCAGCTGATGTGCTGCTGACCTGTTTCAGCTCTGAATGACAGGTGTTTAGATAAGGACTGATTTGGTCTCTTTGCAGATGGAAAATGTTAAGTGAAAAGAAAGCTCTGAGAACTATGAAGTTGTGATGACAAGAGGTTATAGTAAGATTCCTTATGAAAAAACCTTATCAGCTCAGCTGTGCTAGCATTTCTCAATAAAATGGCATAAAACACTGCATATCCAATCTGGCTGTATTTCAACAACACTTCACATGATCCCTACATATAAAGCTTAATGTGGCTTTCATAAACCATGTCACATCCTGTGAGCGAATTTTTCAGGTTCCCTTTTCTCTAGTGCAGATGTCGCTACTCCCCAAACTATCCTTCTCCTACTGCCCACCTCTTGTCATTGCCACAGTATCCTTGCCTGGATCCCTGCAAACCCTCTCACTGTCCAGATCCCTGCTTAGAATCATAGAATAGTTAGGGTTGGAAAGGACCTTAAGATCATCTAGTTCCAACCCCCTGCCATGTGCAGAGACACCTTCCACTAGACCATGTTGTCCAAGACTCTGTCCAGCCTGGCCTTGAACACCTCCAGGGTTGGAGCATTCACAACTTCCTTGGGCAATGCATCCCGGTGCCTCACCACCCTCACTGTGAAGAACTTCTTCCTTAGATCTAACCTAAACTTCCCCTGTTTAAGTTTAAAGCCATTAAGCTTCTTCAGCCCTTTCCTCCTCTTCATGATCTCTACCTCTCCCCACTCCAGCTCCTTGCCCACCAGCGGCTCCCACTCCATGCCATCCACCAGCCCCTTGGTTGCCTCCCCAACAACCTTCTCCTGACTTGAGTGGTTGCCCGCCGGG